AATCAGTAAAAGTCTTTCCATTGTTTTCATTGAGATTTGGATCTGGCCTGAAATTGTCCCTCTACAGCAGACAACTCCATTAGTGCAGACTGTACTATGCAATATGATTAGATACCTTATGAAATTAAGGGTTGCCTGCTGGTTACATAGTTCAAAGGAGCATGCATATACCAGTAGTTCTGTATTTTGTAAGCTATAGTAAGCCGTAAGCTGCTTAATGATCGGACAGTATAAGATAGAGTTACTTGTATTTGCTTAATCATAGGCAAAGGAAATGACCAGAGGGAGAATATCACAAGGTGTGAACCGTTTTAGAAAACTTAAGAAAGGTGGATTGAAAAAAGACACTAGGGTGAAAGTAGCAAGGTCACCTTGACTGCATTTAGTAGTCAGATGTTAGACAAGCCCAATTTTAGGCAAGTTATGGTTTATACAGGAACTAAGAATAGGCATATAAATATTAATTAGAGTACCACATAAAAGGGGTTCCTAATAGATTTTTTCCCCTTATTTAGTAAGATTTTGCTATTTTAGCCAAGCAATAGAGTATAAAAAAGGGTCAACTCTGGGATCTTTGCTCTTTGGTCTTGACCTACATTCTTTCCGAATTGTCCGCTTGCAAGTGTACCTGGTTAGTGCTATTTAGCAACTTAGTTTCTGAAACCTAGGTAAGAAGATCCTATCCTTAACATGTTGACCACCTGTCAGAAGCCTTTTAAAACTTTAGGACTTAGACATTTTAGGATTATTTTGCTTTCAAATATCAGTATGATTGTTATGCACTCAGCTATGGATCTGAGCACATTGCCGGTTTAATCAAGGTGACCCCATGCTGTTTATTCTGCAACAAAATGGCTCAGCTTAGGTTTGGGGCTGTCTTGCCCCAGGAAGTTAAAGGTGTAGACCTTGCATAAGGGGAATGTAAGCTGGAAATCATGACACACAGAGAGAAGCTTACTCTGTGGTCATAAGAGCACCTTAGTCCTACAAGTACCTCCTTGTCGTCACCTTTACCTCGGGCAGTGACGATGCTGGGAGAACCACCTGTGGTATCTGGTTCTGTCGCCCTGTCCTTGGGGCAAGGTCAACACAGGCTTGTACTGGGGTTTCAGAGAGGGGCCATGAAAGCAGCCATTTGGTGAACAGCAATGGGGAGCATTAATTTCTGGGGAGAAGGCTGGTCTGTGAACCTCATGGCAGAATGATTCTTGGTGACAATTTTATGCTTTGTGACTGAGAGGCAAAGTTGTCTCTGAGAAGAAAGATATAACTTCCTGGCCCCGTCCTTTAGTGCCAAACTTCTTCACTGGCTTGCAGTTCTCTTTTAGGTACTGGTCGTCCTGGGCACTGAGGCAAAAAAAAAGTCTGTGATCACATAGGATAAGCCAGTGTTATAACATGTATGTACAAGAAGGTGAAATGATGCTTATATAAGCACCCTTAATTAATGCATTTCTTAACTTCAAAGTGCTTGACTTAGCAAGTGTTCTTTTGTGCACGTAATTAATATTTAATTTGTTATGTGCTCACTATAATTGCTTTAAGAAACTCCTCACCATTAAAAAAGAATCCAGAATCCTATGATGGCAATGCTTGCTGTAGCAACTAAACCATATTACATTAAATAAGGAAAAACGAAAGGGAGCAAATTAATGATTAATTAAGCAAGGGGTATTTAATCTGTTCTCTTCACTCCTATGCTTGTGTAATAGTTTTAAAGAGGGAGAGTGAGCAAGAGAAGAGAATAAAACTTGAAATCCTAGGATGGATCCTGTGGTATTTTCATGAGCAAAGCTCTTGTTGCCATCCAAGGGAATTTTACTTGAGTAAAGATTGCCAGACTGGCCATCTTGCATGCAACAAAATGTGTCTGTGATGACAAAGTGTTAGAGAAAAGTGTGTTTGCCATGGGCTTTTTTAGGCTTGTGGGACTCCATTGCTATCCAGCCCTGTTGCATCCAAATTTGTTTTTCTTTTGTCCCAAATGTCCAATCCATCTCCCTGAGCTCATGAAGCTTTGAAGAACCTGAAGTGTTTACAGAACAATCTCCTAATAACTGTCTTAGGGACTTCAGCTCTTATTTAGTGATCTTTAATTTAAAAGCCTTTTCTTAGACTATTACCTTCTTGGGGCCGGATCCTGTATCTGGCTTCATGGGATGGGCCCTCGTGAGGTCCCACTGAAACCAGCTTCAAGATCGGGAAGGAAGATAAAGGTTTTCATATATTTAGCCAAACATTTGATGTTAAAACACCATCATATAGGCTGGGTTGGGCCACAAGTATTCAGTGCCACAAGAAGGAGAGGGAAGTAAAAGATCATTATGAAGTGGTATATTGGATTCAGATCAGCAATTCTTGTAAAAAAGAAAGAAGGAAAAAAAAAGGACCAATGTGGATGACATAATCCCTATAGTCATCCCAAACTGAACCCACTAAACTGCAGGAAGAGAGATCATAAAAGGTAGGGGTGGAAGGTGCCTTAAGATTATCTACTCCAACCCCTTGCTCCATGAAGGGAGCATCCCTGATTAAACCATCCCAGCCAAGCCAAGCTGCTTTTAAAAACTTGCAAGGGAGAAGGTTTCATAACCTTGCTGGGCAGCCTGGTCCAGGGCTTCAGCGCCCTCATAGTGAGAAACTTCTTTCTAATCTCCAGACTAAACATCCCCTGCTGCCATTTCTGTCTTGCTGCAGAGTAGGAGACAAACCAATGTCTTGAAGTTGTGGCAAAGCAGGTTTAGGTTGGATCTCAGGAAAAATGTCTTTACTGTTAGAAGAGCGAGGCGGTGGAACAGATGCCTAAGGAAGCTGTGGCCCCTCCACCCCTGGAGGAGTTCAAGAAGAGGTTGGACAGCTGCTGGTCAGGATTTTATCCTATAGTCCGATTGGTATGGACTTGGGTGGGGTTGCCTTCCTCTGTAGTGGGGGCACGGCCTCTACCTGGGATCTCTTGAGCGTATATTAACCTCTTATAGAAGCAGGACGTTGGCTGCTGTGGTCCCCCTGCTTTACTTGTGGCAGGTGAGGGTGTGACGTCTTGCGTTGTGTCAGGGTTGATGGTAGTTTTACTAAAAGGTTGGATAATGGCTTTGTATAGGATGCTTTGGATAGGGGTGATTCTGCCTCAGGCAGGGGGTTGGACCGGATGACTTCTGGAGGTCCCTTCCAGCCCTACTTCTCTGTGATTTGAAGCCATTGCCTTTTCTCCTGTCCTCTGCGGCCACAGAGAGAGGTGGAACTGGGAATTCGGTGCCCTGGGCAGAGATGCCTGAGAACGGAGGAAGGGGAAATGCTGAATGTCCGAGGATGGGAGTGCAGGGGTGCAGAGTGCCTGCTAACATGGCACGTGGCTGCGGTTCCTTCTGCGGGTGCTGCTGCCTGGCTGCTACAGGCTCAGAACAGACTCCCTGGGAACCCCACTCCTCTGCACCCTTTAAATTGGCACCAGGGCTCATGCCTCTAGTTACACTATTAGAGTAGTCTATCACTGTCCTCTGTAAAACCACCCTTCAGGTATCTGAAGGCTGGTGTCAAATCCCCGCTCTGTCTTATCTGCTCCAGACTAGATCATTTCAGTTCCCCCAGCCTTGCCTCATAAATCACTGTTTCCCAGACTTCTATACCAGTCTGCATTTCATTCTTCTGGTTAAATGTGAAAACAGCTGGACAGTGTTGAACAAGTTATGCAGGGAACGTCTTCCCTTCCAAGCCTAGGCTGGGCAGGTGTCTCTTGGGGCTGGGTTTGAACAGCCAGATTGCATCACGTGCAGGGTGATGGACTAGGTGACCGGGGAGGTCTGTTCCAACCCAGACCCAGGCTTGTTCACAGAGGCTGCTATTTGGCATTCTCAGAAGATGGTCATGGTATGTTTGGTTTCTCACCCGGGCAATTTCCACAACAGTAATGCTGTCCTATTACTCCAACAGCCGTAGCCTTTTCTGCAGAAGGATATTGGAGTGTCCTGTGGTCTCACACACCTGATGGCATTTGCACCTCCCAAAAACATGGATGGCCCCAAACTTCAAACCAAGATGAGCACATGGACACCCCTGAACCATCAGCTCATGAATGACAAGGCAAGTACCACACAGCTGTCTCCAATACAAGCCAAAGCATATGAGGAACATTTAGTAAATTAGCCAAGACGGGTTTGGTCCATGAGACAGAAAGATGGTGTGATTGAAAGGCATTAATTTGCTGCCTGTGAATGAACAAGATCCTCAAGCCTTTACTGTCCCTGAGAACTGATGTCCCTGAAACTTGTCTGAGTAACGAATAGGTAATAACTGAAGAGGGCTTGAGGATTTAGTCCAGTAACCTTCAACTGTAAGTGCAACACAGCATATATTAAAAGCAAATGACAATGAACCATAGCACAAGTTCTACCAAGTTAGGGCAGCACTTGCTCCATCAAATGTCTGATCAGCTTCACCTCAGAAGTAGGGTGACACGGACTCCCTGCTAGATGTGGAAGGGAGTGTCCTGATGTGGGCAGTTTACAAGATGGGTGTTCTAACTCTAGGTCCTTCAGACTGTGGCTAGGATCTGCAAGGGCAGCAGCTTTGTTTTTCCCTGTCAATCATCCCCAGTACCGTCTACTTTAAATTGAATTTAATTAAGTTTGTTGCTGAATCACAGAGCATAAGGCCAGAAGGGCCCTTAGATCATCCAGATAGATCTCTTGTCTATCACATGCCATTAGAGTCCATCCCATCCCCCACCTGTATTGAGCCCAATAACTTGTCTTTGTCTAGGTGTATCTTCTGTGACAGCTGAAAATTATGTCTGCGTGATAAAGGTGCTTGCTGAAGGCTCTATGAAGATTAGACCAAGTATTTTTTTCTGTCATTTGTTTAGATATTAAGCTATATGTTGTTGCTAAGAGCCTAATTAAAGTTTAAGATGTAGTTAGGCCTTGCATATAGTAAGGCCTAGTAAATTTAGCAACGCCTTGAAGTAGTAAGGCCCTTAGTAGTAAGGCCCTTAGTAGTAAGTTGTAGTTAAAATTAACCTTATCAAAAGAATGCAAGGCTTGTACTGTTATTGGTCAGTCTAAGGACAGTTGAAGTAAAAAGAATCTGAATGGCTGTAACTTATCAGCATAGCTCAGAAATTATAAATTGCCTGGCACATCAGGAAATCATTTAGAAGGAAGATGTAGCCCTGTGAAAGAAGTACTGATTTAAGATTAGCTGCTGGCCTGGATCAGTGAGCCAGTGGACCTTGAGGAGTCCCAGGACTGAATACCAGGGTCCTTCCCAGTACCCCTCAGACAATGCTGATTGGGGATGCCTGACTTTGCTGAGCTTTGCAGAAGAGACACTTGTTGTACATCAGGCATCAGAGGGGACTGCTGATAAATTGCTGATGCAAATTATTATCGTCTGTCTGTTGTTTTGTTATCTGTGCGTAGTCATGTTTTTGTTAATAAACCTTTCTTACCTTTCTACCCTCGACCATACTCTCAATCCCGAACCCTCTGCAGGCGGCTGGGACATCTTTCAGCAAGACAGTCGATCTTCATTTCAGGATATTAAGAAATGGCAAATCTACCACTTTCCTTAGTACCTGGCTTCAGTGGTTAACTACCTTTCTTGTTAAAAATCACAGCCTTATTGCCAGTTTGAATTGGTCTGACTTCAGCTTCCAGCCATGGGCCTTAATATGCTTCTTAACTTTACTTCTTACTACTTTCATAGATTTCATAGATTTCTAGAGTCAGAAAGGACCTGGCAGATCATTGGGTCTGACCCCCTGCTCTGGGCAGGAGAGAGCGCTGGGGTCAGGTAACCCCAGCCAGATGCCTGTCTAATCTCCTCTTGAACACCTCCAGGGTAGGGGAAAGCACCACCTCCCTTGGAAGCCCGTTCCATATTTTGGCAACCCTCACCATAAAGGATTTCTTCTTTATGTCCAATCTTCATCTGTTCTCCTTCAGTTTGCGAGCATTATTCCTAGTAACCCCAAGGGGCGCCCTGATAAACAGAGTGTCCCCTATTCCCTGCTGGCCCCCCCTGATGAGTTTGTAGGCAGCCACAAGATCACCTCTTAGCTTTCTCTTGTGGAGGCTGCAGAGAGTCAGATCCCTCAGTCTGTCTTCATAAGGTCTTACCTGCAGGCCCTCAACCATACAAATGGCCCTCCTCTGAACCCTCTCAAGGTTATCCACATCCCTCTTGAAGTGTGGCACCCAAAATTAGAAACAGTACTCCATCTGTAGCTTCACCAGTGCCGCATAGAGGGGAATTATCACTTCCCTAGACCTGCTCGTGATGCTTCTGCTGATGCAAGGAAGAGTGTGGTTAGCCTTGCTTATTACCTCGTTGCACTGGTGACTCATGTTTATTTTTGTGTCAACCAGGACTCAGAGATCTCTTTCCACTGTTGTGGTGCTCAGAATGGTCCCCCCCAGTCTATAGATGTGTTGGAGATCCTTTCTCCCCAGGTGCTTCACCTTGCATTTATCTTTGTTGGATTGCATCCTATTCCGATTGGCCCACTTCCCCAGTCTGTCCAAATCTTCCTGAATTTGCTCCCTGCCCTCCAGTGTGTTTACTATGCCCCATAGTTTAGTGTCATCTGCAAGTTTGGACAAGGTGCTTTCAACACCTTTGTCCAAATCACTGATGAAGATATTAAACAGTACTGGTGCAAGGACAGAGCCTTGGGGGACACCACTGCCCACATCCCTCCAGGGAGAAACCAACCCATCCACCACCACTCTCTAGGTGCGTCCCATAAGCCAGTTTTTCACCCACCTTACTGTGAAAAAATCCACATCGCAGCTACTCAGTTTGCTCGTAAGAACTGGGCGCAACACTGTGTCAAAGGCCTTGTTAAGATCCAGGTAAATAGTATCTACTTCCTCCCTTGCATCTAAGCACTTTGTGACCTGGTCATAAAAAGAGACCAGGTTAGTCAGGCAGGATCTGCCTGTTATAAACCCATGCTGGTTGCCCCTTACCATTCTGTTACCCGCTGGCCCCCTGCAGATGTGATCCTTAATGATTTTTTCTAAGGTCTTGCCAAAAATAGAGGTGAGGCTAAGTGGCCTATAATTACCCAGGTCCTTCTTCCTTCCCTTCTTGAAGATAGGGACCATGTTGGCCCTTTTCCAGTACTCTTGGACCTGTCCCAAGTGCCACGAGCACTCAAAACAGCTGCACCAGTGGTTCTGCTATGTCATCTTTCATAGTTTCATAGTAGGTAGGGTCGGAAGGGACCTAAGCAGATCATCAAGTCCGACCCCCTGCCATGGCAGGAAAGAGTGCTGGGGTCAAATGACCCCAGCTAGGTGATTATCCAGCCTCCTTTTGAAGACCCCCAGGGTAGGAGTGAGCACCACTTCCTTTGGAAGTTGGTTCCAGATCCTAGCGGCCCTGACAGTGAAGTAGCGCTTCCTGATATCTAGTCTGAATTTACTCTCAGTCAACTTATGGCTGTTATTCCTCATTACTCCCAGCAGAGCTCGGGGGAACAGGGACTCTCCCATAGCCTGCTGGTCCCCCTCAGCCAGTTTATAAATGGCCACCAGATCCCCTCTCAGCCTTCTCTTGTGGAAGCTGAACAGGTTCAGGTCCCGTCACCTCTCCTCATAGGGCCTGCCCTGCTGCCCCCCGATCATGTGAGTGGCCCTCCTCTGGACCCTCTCCATGTTATCCACATCCCTCCTGAAGTGCGACACCCAGAACTGGACACAGTACTCCAACTGTGGCCTGACCAGTGTTGCATAGAGGGGGAGGATCACCTCCTTGGACCTGCTTGAGATGCATCTGCGGATGCATGACAAGGTATGGTTGGCCTTCCTGCCCGCATCCCCACATTGGCAGCCCATGTTCAACTTGGAGTCTATAATGGTCCCTCCCTTCCATCAGGTGTGCGCCTCCCTTTTAGCTAGAAGGCATTCCCGGATGCTTTTGTTGAGCCATGGGGGCTTTTGTGCCCTCCTGCCCCCTTTGATCCGTGTTGGGATTACCTCCCTTTGGGCTTGGAGGATCGTCTCCTTAAGAAGTGGCCACTCTTCTTAGATACCTGGCTCCCTCCCCTCCGGGACCTCAGTGCCTTCCCGGCTATTCTCCTTAGCTCATTGAAGTCCGCCCTCCTGAAATCAAGGGCTGCTGCCTTGCTGCAGGCCTTTGCCACCTTGCGCTGGGTGATGAATTCCAGCAGGCGATGATCGCTGTCACCCAGGTGGTTCTGGGATAAACACAGGCACAATTTATCCAGGGATAAATGTAATGTCTGTTCCTAGCCTATATGAAGGTGCTTATACCCTGTGATCAAGTCACTTCCCAATCTCTTTGATAAGCTAAGCTCAGGGAGCTCTTGAACTTTTCCACCATAAGGCATTTTCTTTAGCTCTTGATTCATTGTTTGTGGTGCATTGTTGCACCCTCTCCAATTTTGCAATATCCTTTTTAAAATGCAGACTCCAGTACTGGGCCTAGTAGACCAGTATCAGTTTCCCTAACATCCCATAGAGATGCACAGTCATCTCTCCCACACTCCCTCACTGCTCAGTTCTTTAGATTGCATTGCAACAGAAGCTCATGTCAGATTGCTTGTCCGTGATGTCCATGATCCTCATGTCAAAATGCTTGTCTGTTGTAGGCAGATCAGAACAGAATTTTGTCTCTCTTATCTGTACAGAGCTAACAGGAAGAGATAGCAGTGACGAAAACATTGCTGACAATGACAATCAACTGATATTGTTCTCCATCACATTAGGGAACAGATCTCTCAAGTTTAAAAATGTCGTGTTAGGATTGTTGGTTGTAGCCGTGTTGGTCTATGGACAGGTAGACAAGGTTCTTTGAAGAGATGTGCTCTCTTTTATTAGACTAACTAGATAGTTGGAAAAATTGTTCTTTGCAAGCTTTTGGGCACAAACACCCTTTTTCAGGCATAGGGAGAGTCTGTTGGGGCTCATGTACATACCACGATTTTTGTCCTTTCATGCACTGCAGCTGCGTGTCTGTTTGCACGAGCAGGATTTAAAAGCCTTTCTTGTGCATGCAAAGGCACTCAATGAAGTATAATGAGCCTCTTTGTCCACCGGATGGCACTGTGACTTTTTTTGTAGTTCACCCCTTCCAATTGCTTTCACTTTCGAATTGCTTCTGCTTTTTTTTTCTTTTTGTGGTTTGCTGGCTCCTTGCTTCCACAGCTACATGGTAGGGCGCAGGCATGGGATGGATGGGGGGCCCCATGCCAGGGGGGTAGTGCTGGACCATCCCGTTCTCCTGCAGCACCAGCCAGGGACCTGGCTAAATTCATTTGAAAACCTAGTGCGTGTAAACACAGATGCGATGCTCCAAAATAAACAAGTTTAAATTTTATAAACCTGTTTAATGAGGATTAAAACCCATGGTGTGTACAGGCACTCTTGGTGGTTGTGTGCTCTCCTGGGTAGAATAGAAGCCAAAATGCAAAATGCAGGTCTGTGAAAATGCAATAAGTTTCAAAGGGAATGGGAGACAATGGGTGTGAAAAGGTACTGGTGGGGGGGCGGAGAGAAGGGGAAGAAGATGATAAAATGTAGCTGGTAAAATGCAGACAGGTTACCTGGGGTTATTGGATGGCAGACATGTTATAACGTGCCATAAATCCAATGTCTATATTTAGTCCATGATTTTTTGTATCCAGTAGATTGATGAAGTAAAGTTCATAGGCTCATCTGTGACAGGTGTTTTGTAAATTCCCTTAGAGGATTAGTACTGAGACATTGGAGAGAGCGTGGTTATCTTACGAGGAGTGTGCACCCAAAGGTAATTGGGTATTCCTGTCTTTGATAGACTTTTTGGTGTGCATTCATTCTGGTGCGCAGTTTGGTTTCTCCTACATATTTTTCATCAGGGCATTTGGTGCACTGGATTAAATATATCACATTTCTGGAGATGCAGCTGTACGATCCAGGAATGCTGATGGTTCTGTTGTGGAGTGTAGTTATAGTGGGAGTGGTGGAGACACGTTGGCAGGTTTAACGTTTCTTGTCATGTCACGGTCTGGATCCATTTGGTGTGCTTTGGGCCATAGGAAGTTTGCTTCTGGTGATGAGGTTGGTGAGGTTCAGTGCTCGTTTAAAGGCTAAGATGGGTGTTTCTGGAAAGATCTCTTTAAGAGTTGGCTCTTCTTCTAGTATGAGTTGTAACTGTTTGAGGCTTTTTATATATAGGTTCCAGGGAAGGATGGTATGTCATAACTAATACTGTGTGATTCATGGGGATTTTCTTTTTGCACTGCAGCAATTCTTCACATGGTGTCCAGGTGGCTCTTTCAAAAGTGCGATCTGTCTCTTTGGAGGAGTGTCCTTGTTTGCGGGAAAGCCCTTTTGAGATTTGCAAGGAGACAGTCATAGGTGTTCTTCTCAGTGCAAATTGGTGGTATCAGAGGACTTGGCGGTAAATTACAGCTTTCTTGGTGTGTTTAGGGTGATTGCTGGTTCTGTGTAGATACGTATGTTGGTCTGTGGGTTTCTTGTATATGGTGGCTTGTATTGTACCATTCTGGATATTGATCATGGTATCTGAAAAGGAAATGTTGGTGCTGGAACAGATAGTCTGATTAATGGGTGATTATTATTGAATTTGTGGAGGAAATCAATCAGAGATTGCAGGTTTTTGGTCCAAATGGTGATCTATATATCATGGGTTTGATAATGCAGTTCTTGAGGAATTCTTTTTCTCAGTGGACCACAAAAAGGTTGGCATATTGTGGGGCCATTTTGGTGCCCATTGCAGTGCCCAGGGTCTGGAGGAAGTGTTGACTACTGAAAGTGAAGTTGTTGTATGTGAGGATGAAGTGTATAAATTCAGTAGAATCTTTAGGTCTGTACTCTGAGTTGTAATCTTGCTCCCGTAGATATGTAAGGCAGGCTTGGATCCTATCCTGGTGTGGGATGTTGGCATATAAGATGGTACCATCCATGGTGGCTAGGAGGATATTGCTGGGAAAGCAGTCTGTGTTTTTAAGTTTTTATAGGAAATCTGTTGTGTCTTGGACAAAATGTGGTCTTTGGGTGACAAGAGATTTTAGGATGGAGTCGATGAAATCTGATATTGCCTCCGTTTGGTTGGACTGAAGATCCGTGGTTGGATATTATAGGTTTGCCTGGGTTTCCTTGTTTATGGATTTTACGGAGCATGTTAAAAGTCCCTGGATTGGGTAATGGGGGGATCAAGTTTTGTAGTTTTTCTTGTAAATGATGTGATAGTAGTTTTGAGTTTTAAGGTGAAAAATGGCGTCTTTACACTATCATGTTCAGAAGTGTAACAAATTAATTTCTGGACCCTGGGTGGCAGCAGCAGCTGGATTGGCAGTGGTGGCAACCATCATCATCAGCTGTCATTGTTACACTCGCCCTAAGTCACTGCCCAGGGCTGGTGCCCCATTCACCCACCCCTAGTCATTAGGGCTGTGAGAAGCTTCAGTCCCTGATTTGATTCGGCGGAGATTTGGCCCAATTCGGTGGCTGAATCTCCAAATCCAAATCGAATCAGAGGGCCCTTTAATCTCTCTGAATTAAATCGTAATCCTCCAAATCGATTCAGCGATTCAGACCTAGACGCAGCTTTAGTTTTTTCTACATATCTCTAGGTAGCAGGCGGCTCGTGAATGCTGCAATGCTGGGGCACATGGAGCGTCCCACAGGAGCACAGGGGGGTCCCTGGTGCACTCGGCAGCAGAACTGGAAGTGGACCAAAAGCATTTCCGGTCCACTTCCGGCTCCGCTGGAGAGTGCACTGGAGGACCCCCCCATACCACCCCCCCGGCTCGGTGACTGGTGCCTCCTGGGTCTGGGGGGGCACCCGGGGGCCCTCCATGTCTGATTGCTGAGCCGGGGGGTGCAGTGGGGCCCCCCAGCGCACTCCCTGGTGGACCTGGAAGTGGACTGGAAGTACTTCCGGTCCACTTCTGGGTTCGCTGCTGAGAACATGGAGGGCCCCCCTGCGCTCCCGTGGGATGCTCCATCTGCCTCACCATCACAGCGTTCACAAGCTGCGCTGGTACCTTGAGGTCTGTAGAAAAAACATTTCTACATGTCTATGTCCGAATTGCCGATTCTTTGAATCAGCATCAAATCTTCAGATTCAGACTTGGCTGAATCAAATCGGGGACGGTGATCCGAATCAATGAATTAAATCACTGTCCCTGATTCAGGCCAAATCTAAATCCAAATTGAATAGGGCCCGCTTTGCACACCCCTACTAGTCATGCTACTGGTTGTGTTTTTTATCGTATCAGCACTTTAGGGGGGGCAGCAAAGAGAGGAAGGAACTCCTGGACATGAGGAACAGTTTGGAAGAAGATCCAAAGCAGAGAGAAGAGAGGAGGTGGCTTGGAGGGTGGCTAATAGTTGAGAAGACAACAGGGGACTGCTATGGTAGGAAATCAGAGTCAAGGTAAGGCAGAGGCCATTTAGCAGAGGCCAAAAAACTCTGACTTGGAGGGGTGGAGACAGGAAGGCAGCGGATGAGCCTGCCTTTTTTGCAATCACATTATGAATTCAATAATTCTTTGTTTCCAAAGGACTGCAGAGAGCCAGACTGCCTGGCAGAGCTGGCTCAGGTGCATGCGTAAGAACTCAGAAAGCAAACACTGGATCTTTCTTTGATCAAAGACCATGAATACTGTTTACAGCTATGTAAATACCACTCTGTTCCACTTACATTCCCTGAACCAAAACTTCAGTCTTGGTCTATTTATCACTGTCTTGTGGCAAATCTTTACAAAGTTCAGCCAATGCAAAGCTTTCCGGAGGGTCTCTTTTTTTGCCAACTGTCTCACGTGCAAATAAAACAAATAAGAAATGTAAACAGGCGAATAGGAGGAAAGTAATTTTTCACGCCTGGTGAGAGAAACTCCTGCTGGGAGACATGAAGTTAATGCTGGTATTTGAGCTGGACTAGAAACCAACACTGGTGTTATCTTTCTCTGCAGGAGCTGTCTTAGCCAGCTGCCAAAACAATAAAATATGATGTTTCTAAGGATTAATAATATTTTCCTAGTTGTGGTTAGTAACTGTTTTAATTTGCAGTTATGGTTATATCTCATAAATGTCTCTTCTTTGCTCCTTCTAAAGAGAAAAGAGCTACAGCCTTTTTCTCTTCCCAGGCCGTGCCTCAGAGAGGTTCTGCTAGCTTCAGTCCACATCACAAAGCCTCCACTACCTTTAGGCACTAACCATCCCTTTATAATCTCGGCAAAGAGGCCAGCGGTGCATGAACTCTTCTTTCACTTCTATCCTGACCCTTCAGACTGAGGATGAAGGACCTTGAGGGGAGAGAAAGAGAGGAGGAAGTGAGGAAATCTGTGTTGCTCCTGCCCGTGCTGCAGTTATCCCATGGACAAGGAGGTCTTCATTCTTCCTGGTTGTCTGACTGGGGCGTCTCAAGGGCACTCCCCTCACTAAAAAAGAAAGCCCTAAATAAAGGGTGGAGTTGCCGAGTGGACCCCTAACAACCTTGATCAGTATGAATTGCGTAGATGAACCAATGTGGATTTCTCCTGACTTCCTCAGGATCCAGATGGATCCCACCTGTAGGAATCAGATTGCAGAACTTGCAAAGCAAGCAGGCTGTTTTTCAAGCTGATTTTTTTTTTAGCCTGGGATAGGCTGAATTGCCTCTGTGTGTTCAACCTCACTTATTTTGGTTTTTCTCTTCCCTTATAGGTATTTGAAGAACGAAAAGCCCTGCTTGGAAAATGGGTAACCTTTTCTCTTTAAATAAAAGTTAGTTTCAGAACTAATTGCGGGATGAGTGGGATGGGAATTTTAAATACCTTTCCTGTTTCACTTGAAGAGACTAATTTTCTGGATGGAAGGGTGAGAAACAGAAGGGCTGGACTATTGAACCTCTGATGGGAACATAAAAGGACAATTTTTTTTCCTGGCATAGTTCCAAAGAAATCATGAGCTTGAGTAATCTGGTCTGCTTTTTAAAAGTAAAAATGGGGTTGGAAGCCCAAAGAAAAGTCTGTAGAAAAAGTGTTGAGAAGGTATCTGGCAGACAAGTTGCTAACACCCCCTAGCAACTTAGACAGATATCAGGAAATCTGATATATTTTATTAGATGCATTCAGTATTTATATCCTGCAATTGTATACCGCCTACTATATATACTGATATGCTGGAAATAAATTATACCGATGATCTATTTAACATCTTTAGGAACATGGGTATAGAAGGGACATCCCAGGCGATTAAGTTCAGGTCCCTGCTATTTCACATACCTCTTAATAAACTTAATGAGTTACATCTTAAAAGTAATTAGCTTTTACCTCCATTGTTCCTACTGGGGACTGTCCCAGAACATCACTGCCCATGGTCAGGAGCCTTCTTTTAATTTCCAGCCAAAATTTATTCAAAGCAAGTTGATACTCATTTATTCTTGTTCAACACTGTCCTTTAGTTTACGTGATTTCCCCCCACCCCCAGGTGTGTAACACCCCCTAGCAGCTTAGCTACCTCACATTGGCAGCATGCAGTCCTCTGCTGCCCAGGGGTATACTCAGGCCGTGCTTTTCCTCATTCATTTCCAACCGGTTAGCTCCCAGGTTATAGCAGAAGTTCTTATTGTTACCCTTGTATTGGCACTGTTCAGTGTCATCCCATTTCTGTTACTCAGGTCCTCATGTTGATCCAGTTCTTTCTCTTATGATATTCTGATCTTCCTTTGCACTTAACTTTGTGTTGCAATTTTCATCACCGCGCTCCCGCTCTGTGCCAAGGTTATGGATGAAAATATGAAACAGTATCAGTCCCAAACATATCTTTGAGGAATTCCACTAATGACCTCTCTCCCTCCCTATTTATCCAGGTCCTTCCCTGCCTTACAATGCCTTTACTAGTCTCTGTCTTCTTTGGTACCTCCCATAATTTCCACCATAGTGCCATTTAACAGGCTTTACTGAATTACAGATAGATGAGATACCTCCCTTCTTTTGCCTGGAAGACAAAGAGAAGTTTTCCCTAACCACCTGGCTTTACATTTGGCAAAGGTGGAGGCATTTCCTACTCTTCTATTCAGCTTGGGCTGTGGTGTAGAAATAGGGTGACCATATGTTCCAGTTTGGCTGGAGCAGTCCCGGATTTCATAGGCCATCCTCACGTCCCAGTTGGTTGGTGAGAACTGAAGTAAACTTTTGGTGCCACCCTGCTCACACGTGCCCAGCTCAGGTCCTCCTCAGCAGGCTGGAGGCAGTGGGGTGGGGTGGGACCAGCACTGCTGCGCCTGCCTGGGGCAGGGATTGGCCAGGGCAGGCCGAAGGGTCTGGGGTCTGGGCACCTGCACGGAGCAATCCAGGATGGCAGAGCGGTGCAGGGTGGGACAGCACTGAGGCCTGCAGCCCAGCTCCATCCTCTGTGTGCAGAGGTTAGACGCGGCTGCGAGCAACCCCTGAGTGGTGCTTTGTGGGTGCCACCAGCATGCTCTGTGGGGCACACAGCACCTCTCCCTGCTGCCAGCAGCCTCACACCCTGCTGCTGAAGCCACTACCGAGGAGCAGGCTGCACAAGACAGCCCTGGGCAGCTGCCAGAGGGTGGTGGGGAGGCTTTGTGTGGTCACACAGCACGGGTTGGTGGAGCCCGGGGGCACCACTCAGGGGCGGCTCGCTGCAGGGCTCAGCTTCTGCATGTGGGGGTTGAAGCTCAGCCATGGGCCTCTGCACTGTCCTGCCCCGCTGCTCCACCATCAGGCTCCTGGGAGCCACAGGGTTGGGGCTGTGTGTGCATGCGCGTGTGTGTCTGTACCGGAAAGGGGGTGTGGAGGCACGGTGTGCACGTGTGTGTGTGTACATGTGTGTGCATGTGCATGTGTGTACCCCCCTCGCCCCAGATTTCCTTGCGCCGTCCTGGATTTCCCTAAAATTATTACAACCACCCTACGTAGAAAGGAACACACAATTCATGGAGCCGGGTAGAGGGTGAGCACAAGACAATTTGACTCCATAGCCCAGGAATGAGCTCACCAGGACTCCTGGGTTCGCAATGGGGGATGCCTGGTTTGTGAATCCAGAGGAGCTTGATCAGGAAATAGATGCCAAGAGGCTCAGCAGTGGATCTAGGCATGCCTACAAGGCATGTAAGGCACCTCACTGATGAAAAGGTGGGTGCCCATGGCCTTTCAGGTGCCTAAATGGCTGGTTAGGGATTTTATGTATCTCTCCCTAACACCACCTGACTTATACCTCAGGTTCCTACGCACTGGCTCTCAGTGATAAAACCAGGCTCATACAGGAAGTCGGTGGCAGAGGAACACATTGAACCCACAGGCACAAATCCCAGATTTGCAGCCTAGCTACTGACCTGCCCTTCCTTTCTCCTCAGAGCCAGACTCAGTGAGTAGAAGCGTTTGGGGAGAGCACCTGTAACATGCCTCATCTGAAGAGAGAGAGGAGAAAGATGTGAGACGGGAGCTTACGTCAGCCTGAGTGAGATAAGCAGCATGTGCCAGCCAAGCCCCACTGCAAGGGACATGGCTAAGCACCATCCGGCGCTTTGAAAATGCAGCTAGGCAAATAGGTGTCAGGTACATGGCCACATGCGATACTCAAATTAAATAGAAACACACCAATGATGAGGATGCTTCTCTCCACTGTTGTGATACCTTGTGTTTGCCCAACAAGCCCATCTATTTAGTGCTGTGAATTCTACAAGTTGGAAAGGTCACAAGTGTTGACAACTTTTGCGAATGAGCTGGTCTGTCGCAGGTGAACAACTTGTGTCTCAGCTCATTGCAGCCATTCACTAGCACAGGAGACAGGCCCTGCACAGCTGCTGGGCTCTGCGGGCACTGACAGCAAAGAATGTGCTACAAGGTGAGAAGATAAGCAGGAGCCGCAAGTGGCTGCTAGTGAGGTACTAGGAAAATGTGCATTAACCTGTCTTAATAAGAATTACCTAAAAAGCACAGTTTTTTTAGGGCATTTATACACATACTTTTTTGTCTCGTGACACACCGGAGATCCACCACTTTAGAACATACTTGATTGAGTCTGCTCAGCACATGAGCTGACGTGAACTGCACTGCACCACATGCAGTTGTGTAAGTAGCAAAATGCGTGTCAGCGCTCAGAAAATGGTGGCAGTATACTTTTGAACAAAAGCACCTTCTATGTGTTTTAGTTCAAAAGTGTGCCATCACCGTTTTCTCAGGGCTGATGCACATTTCACCACTTATACAACTGCAAGCATCACAGAGCCAGATGCTTGTGTGTAAAAATGTCCTTAGTGATGCTTTAATTCACATTAAAATAGACTAGACACTGTCTCTCACCCCATTCTCATTAAAAAACTAGGA